AGGAGAGGGACTTGGAAATCAACAGGCTAGGGAGTTGAATGTGAGGGTTATCTCCAAGATGGGAGGAGAGTGGAGGCATGTCTAGAGGGCAGTGAAGAGTCCAGGTCTGGACAAAGGGAGTCTGGGGGACCTTGAACCAGGCCATTCAAGTTGCCAGAAGGCAGCCGACTCAAGTTCAAGAGTTCTAGGGTGGAGGGGGACAAGTCCTGGCCTGGGATTCAAAGCCCTGGGTTCCAACCCCATATGCCTGCTTCCTTTCTGTGTGTCTGGGTGACTCTGCCTCTCTGGGTCTCAGGCTTGCAGCTTTGAAATAGGACAGACCCAGAGGCACCTACCCAGCTTACCTCCCTCACTTATAACTTACCTCTGAGGGCACAGACCACTGAGGGCTGGGAGAGTAACAGGCCTGAGGGAATCCCATCTTCCAGGTGTGGGCAAGGGTAGCAGATGGCCTAGTCTCTACTGGAGCTACAAGAGAAGTTGCTAGACAGTTCGACTGGCTTAGCCTCCACCCCAGCCCATGCAGAGACCAGACAATAGGTCTATTCACAAGGACTAGAACCCAAGGCCTTGGTTGGCATATGACGCCTTAGGGTGAAGGGCTGGGCTGGAAGAGAGGGCAGCATCAGAGCTGGTGGGGTGAGGGGCTGCTTATAGCTATGGAGAGTTCCAGCCAGCTGCCCTGCAGGCCCCATGAGGCCCTCAGGGGCCCACCTGCCTGGCCCACCTCTCAAAGGGGATTAAAACAATGGACAAGAAATAGTTACAGTGACAGCTGCCGTGCTGCCAGGTTGAACTATCTCAGACTTTCCTCCGTATCACCTCAAATAAACCCTCCTGGGGCCCCCCCTGTCCCCTCTGAGAGATGTGCTGTCACTGTTTCATAGCTGAGGAATCTTCTGAGGTTCAGTGAGTTTGCGGGAAACCCCCCAAAACCAAGTACACAGAACATGATGCACTTGTGTGCATCACTTGAGGGAAGGTGGGGGTAAAAGCAGGATGTGGGGGATGTGCTCACCAGGACTAGACCTTCAGGAATCTCCTCTACCTTGAGTCTCAGAAGTGGGAGCCCCAGCCTGCTGCCCCAGATTGTCCATTGGAATGACCCCTTGGGCAACTGGCTGTGTGGCCTGCCTAAGCTGGGGAGGGGGCCCCACACCCTGCAGTCAAAGGTGGGGAGGACACATTCACCAGGAGAGGATGTTGAATTCCTGGCAAAGCTCCAACCTGCTTTATATTAAAACTGGTCTAACAGGTTGGCATGAAAGGGCTGCCCAGGCCTGCACGGGCTCCACTTCTTCTGGAGGAAGAGGGCCTTTGTGAGGTCCCCAGAATCCTCCTGTCTTCTTGGTCAGGACTTATTTCAGGCTCTTTGCCCTTCTACTTCACTGTGGGCCAGGTGTGCAGGGTGGGAGAGTTCCCATCTAAGAGTGGAGCCAGCCCAGCCATGACCCCTGCCCTATTCAGACCTTTCTTTGGCTCTGATCCAGCAGGATTTGCTCAGTTGGCAGATTAGAAGCTGGACACAGGTACAGGGGCCCTGATGATTCAGGGAGTGTTAGGACATTCCGTGATCATGAGTAAAGCATCCCAGCAAGACCTTTCATTGATTGACAAGAGAAACCTGGATAGCCTAGTGCCTCTGTCCCAGAGTCTTTCTAGAGGGACATCGTGAGTTCAAGGTGGGACACCACACAGGATCAATCTCTAAACCCACCTACCCTTGGTCTGGCAGAATCCTCCAGGGCCCAGCCCCTAGCCCTAACTCCTGCCCCCTCATCCGGAAAGCCCTCCTGAATCATCCCACCCCTTCTGCATGCCCCCAGGGCATTGTGAGTGCCAAGGCTTTAGCATGCCAGCCCCTGGGAGGCAGAGCAGAGCAGCAGTTACACAAACAACGTCCTGAGTCAGGGTTTGAACCCCAGCTCTGTCCCTCACAAGCTGTGTGATCCTGAAAAAGCCACAGTTTCTCTCTCTGAGTCTTACTTACCTCTTCTGCTGTAAATGGGGACAACCTCTGCTGGTGTGGAAGGCTGCAGTGAGAACTTAATGGGGCACGAACCCCACCCAGATCACCTAGTTGCAGCCCTCACCTCCTCCACTCTCCACCACACCCTATTCTGCCATATCCCATACCTCTCAACCTCCTTTCTGGGCTCCAGCCCCCAGGCCCTCATTAGGCCATCCCCATTCAGCTAACAGGTTCACCCCTTAGAAATGAGTATCAGATCATAGCATTTCCTTTCTAAACTCTGAAGTAATGCTCCACCACACCAGAACACAGTCCATGTGCTCCCTCTGCCTTCTCCACCCATCCTGTCTCTTCAGCTCTCCTGGGCAGCCATCCCAGACTTCTTACTCCTGATCTTACCAGGTTTGTTCTTGCTTCGGGGCAGTTCCCTGGCAGCTCCTTCCACCTGGATATCCTTTCTCTAAGTTGTCTGCATAACCAGCTCCTGCTCTTTGTTTGGATGTCCAGGATCAGTGCCACCCTGCTCCAGAGCTTTCCCCAACCCTCTCATTTGCGGCAATGTCCCCACCACCCAAAGCCACTCTCTTCCCTGCCCCTTGCTTTGCTTTCATTTCACTCTCAAAACCTGTCCTGAGTGCCCATTTGTCTACTTGTTTATTATCTGTCACCCACCAGCCCATGAGCCCCACAAGGTTGAGGAATGTGTCCATCTTGTTCCCTGCTGTGACCCCAGGGCCTGGGTGAAGTCTGGCCTAGTTGGTGCCCAAAGAGCACATGCACTGGGAAAGGATTTAATTGGTAATGGGTTACCACCAGTTATTGTTTGTATGTGGTATCTTTCTTCCCAGCCAGTGTGTGCTCCTTTCACCAGCCCAGAACCACCCAGGGGTGACTGCAGTGACCAGAGGATTTTCAGCATCTGTTAGTCTGGGTCTCTGACTTGGGGCTGGGGCCCAATGACATGCCTTCCACTAATCCTGTTCTAGGCAGGCATCACTCACTCCCCTGATAGGTAAACGTGAAAAGAAGACTGAAGCAGAAAAATCTTGCAGATCAGAAGTAGCTGCCAGCTCCTCCTTAGGCAAGAGCTAGACCCTGGCTTGGGCTAAGGTGAGGATGAGGGGGATAGGACCCTGTTGTCTAGGCCACTGGTTCCAGAGACCTTAGCAGGTCTTAGCAGGCAGGGACACAGGGATAAAACCAGCATTCAAGAACAGCTTGCCTGAAAGCTGCCCCCCAGCCGCCTGTCTTCGCTGCCTCCTGTAGTGCAGGGACAGGTGGGTAGTCGGGATCCTGAAGGGTTAGCTCTGTTCTGTGCCTCACCTCCTCAGACAGTCCCCTGCCCCCTCTGGGCCTCAGTTTCCTCAACTGTGGAGTATGGGTAATGTTTAGACACTCCCAGGGTTGTGGTGAACATGACATAAAGTGCAAAGCCTTTGTCCATTGCCAGCACCCGGCGGGCACCCTGAGACATCTCCCTTCTGTGGACAACAAAGGGCTTCCTCCTGCTCCAGCAGCTTTTTGTCTGGGCCATGGCACCAGGTGGGAAATAGCCTGCCTTTGACTGCTCTGTGTCCACTACCCCACTACTGGTACTTGATCTGGGGGTGGAGCAGACAGAGGGGTCACCTCAGGCATTCTGGGAGTCACCAAGGGGCTGAGATCCAGGCTGAAACAATGAGGAACCAAAGACATCACTGGCAGGGCCATGGTGACCTGGAGGAGGGCTGCTGCCGGGCCCTGCAGCCAGCAACAAAGTGCCAGGCAGGACATGTGGGCCTGGGCCCCACTCCCAGTACAGAGAGCCCTCACCCACCTCTCACTCACTCTTACCCAGTAGCAGGTCCTTTCTTGGCCACAAATATCTCCATGCCTTCAAGGTCCTATGCCTCCATAGTTCTTGCTTTTTATCCTTTCCTGCCTCCTCCTTATCAACATGTCACTCCTCACACCTTCCTGCTTCCAACCTGCCAGCATTTGCCTCTTCTCAGCTGTAACTTCTAATTGCCTAGAGGCTAAGAAAATAGAAAGGTTAGAACTATTTCTAAACTAAGTGTTAAAAGGCTATGAATGAGGTTCAGAGGAGCTTTCCTGTGAGGTACTCAAGTAAAGGGGCAGAAAATTTCAGGACATAGTGGGATTCCAGGTGCTGAAGTGCTCCAAGATCAGACCATCAGACAATGGAGAGTGTTTACATTTTAGTTGCTCTTCCACCTACTTCTGGTGTCCAGGACCCTGAGTGCGAGAAGAGAGTCCTCAAACCCCAGCCAGCTGGGCCCAAACCCCATCACCACACCTCAGGTCAGATTCTGCCAGCTTACTGGCCACCATCCCCAACTCAACTGTCTGCAGCGCTGCACAGAATGACCCTTCCCCAGGCCTCCTTGTGGTTGGGAATATGAGCTTCCCAGTCATGCCCTGGTGCCTTTGCACTCCCTGTAAAGTGACTGGCCCTGACTTCTCTGACTGTTGGCCTCCTCATCTCAAAAGACACTGGCCCCTGGAGCTGTCCATAGCACCCATTCCCCCCAGAATTCTCCACTTTGTCTTTAATTGACATCTCCTGTCTGTACCTCTATCAGGTCTGATGCTCCTCTGCCACCCACCCCAAACCTGGACCCTGCCCTAACCCTAACCCTAACCCTAACCCTGCAGGCAATCCAACTGGCCTTTACCTCCTGCCTCCCACCCTCCAGAGGGAACAAGAGGGAAGGAGTGGAGAAAGGCCATTCCCTAACCCCTCCACTCTTCAGTGGTCCACTAGCAGGGCTGCTCAGCCACATAGGTCTCCGGGCCTCTGCTGACCCAGATATAAAGTGGGGGATAACAATAATAAGATTGAAGGGGACAAACTGTGCAGAACTCAAAAGAGGCCCCACTGAGGGCTCTGTAAGTGAAAGATACAATTTTATTGTCGTTACAGAAAAATCAGTGAAAAAAAAAAAAGACTACCAAACTGTTTTTCAAAGTAATAATCACTTTATAAAGTCTTTTCAGATATGTATTTCTTTTCCTCTCTCACGTGCAGGTACCTTCCTGGGCAGGAAACAGACCCAGAAGAACTGGAGCAGCAGCTCTCAAAGTAGCATGTCCTCCCCACCAGCCCAGTACCCGCACTCATGCAGGGCCTATGCCCCAGCGAGACCAGCTCTGTGCAGGCAGGGCTCTGCCCTGCGAGGGGGTGAGCGGCCAGCTCTGTTGGGCTCTAATGCCTTGGCTCCATTTTCTTGTCCATTTGCCCAATCTCCCAAAACAAGGTTGGGGGCAGAAGAGAGTGGACACTTTCACAGGGGGTGGGGCAGCGCCAGGACATCCAGGACTGCCTTGGGTCCAGCAACACATCTCAGAATGGGGCTCTCCACCAGGAGGAGCTGGAGAAGCTGGGGCAGGGCTGGGGTCTCTGGAGCACTCAGGGCTCAGGGCAGAGAGGTATGGTTGGCTCACGCTGAGATCAACCCAAGGAGAATAAATAAATAAATACTGTATAACTGTGCAGTCCTTCAGCCTGGCCTGCTCTCCCATCAGGGGACTGTCACTGTTGACCTCAGTTCCTCTGGCTCCCATCCTCCCTGAGACAGAGGCTGGCTGGAAGGAGGGGGCCTGCCCCACTCTGTGGACTGAGAAACCAGGGCCAGCCAAGTCTATGCAGTTCAGGAGGCCACAGTAGGGAAGTGGGAGCCTGGGCCCAGCCCACAGGGTGAAACGAGGTCCTGCCTGTCTCCCTGTCTTCTGACAGATGGCCCACCACAATGGCTGCTGACCTCCAAGTCATGTGACACTTCCCCCTACCCCTGGCCCCAAGCTTTGCTCCTGCTGACTCTTCCTGGTCCAGCTGCCAGATGCATGCAGGCACCAGGATGACTGGAGGAGGGATAGTGGGAGCCCAAGTCCAGCTAGGGCCGGCATCCCCTCTAGGATCTGGCTGGGTGAGGCTAGGCGATGCCTGGACAGGTCAGAGCTGGAAGGGGTACTGTCGGAGGTAGTCAGCCATGCGCCGGGGCAGTGGGAGGCAGTCCACGTCAGCCACCAGACGGTTGATGACGAGGCGGCACAGGTGCTGCAGGCTTCGGGCACTGCTTCTGCGCACAAAGGGCTGCACCAGTTTTAGGTGCACAGCAGTAGCAGGCAGTGCTGGGTCACCAGGCACATCTTCCTTAGGGGTAGACAGAGCCGGGGTAGGTGCAGGGTCAGGACTGTCGCTTCGGGTATCTGCAGCACAGGAGGCCACATAGTGCTGGACAAGGCTGACCACATCTGGGAAGGCCAGGATGCGCGGCCTGGACAGGCAGTTGGAGTCCAGGCGGAAGCTGGAGTCTGCATACTCGATGCGCACGTTGGTGGGGCCGCGGGTGGTTTTGACAGACAGTGTGAACAGGTAGCTGGGGTGGGTGCTGTCGCGTACTAGGAATGTGCCCTCTGGCATCCTCTGCAGGTGTTGCCGGGCCTCGCTGGCCGTAATGGAACCCCAATACCAGCCTAGGCAAGTGTAGAGGGGGCAAGAAAATGGTCACAGTGGAAATTAGCTGGGGGCACCAACCCAGGGCAGGGCAAGGCTCAGCTTCTCCCTTCATATGTCCCTAGGGAGGGCTGTACCTCCCCCATCAGACTCTTCTGGGCAGGGCCATGTTTCTCAAATTAGACTCAAAAGGCAGAACTAAACTTCTCCCATCAGACTTTCCAGGACAAGGCCTGTCTTCCTCCTCAGACTCACCAGATTCTCGAAGGTAGGAAAAGGTCTTGGCTATGCACAGCAGATCCTCCTCAGGGTCCAGAACCTTGGGCTCACTCTCTGACTTGGCTTGGGTCTCGTCGGCTGCCTCCTCCAGGAAGGCGCCAGCAGGCAAAGGCTGCATAGCTGGTTCGGGCAGCTCCAGGGACTGGGCCCACAGAGGCCGCTGCCCGATCTGCTCCACAGCCAGCAAAGGACAAGGTCTAGAAGAAGGTAGATGGGCAGTGAGTGGAGGCCCTGTGTTCTCCCTGTTTCCAGGGATCCCCTATGCCCCAAACTGGCACATGACCTCCGGCCAGTCTGTCTCACTATGAATCCCAGTTTCTCCTCTGCCCACCCATGGGCTCAGTGAGACCAGTACCCCACTTCCCACTTGTCATCACTAAAGGCACCTTGATTACTTTCCCCACATATGAGCCCTCTTTTGAAAGAGACTTCTCCGCCCTCCCACATTTATTAAACAGTAATTACAATCGTCCCTCAGTATTCATGGGGACTGATTCCAGGAGCTGCTGTGGATACCAAAATCTGCTGATGCTCAAGTCCCTTATATGAATGGCATGGTACACTGAACACATGGGGCCCTCTGTATCCATGGGTTTCACATCTGCCACTATGGAGGGCCAACTGTAATCTCTGTATTTTGGACCAACCAAATACACAGATCATTCCCTATATGCCTTTTTAGCTCACAGTGGCCAGTTGGTGTCTCCACCACACTGATAGGATTCAATGCAAAGAGGCCTTACAATGGTGCTCTCCTGGCAGTGGTGGGCTGATTAAATGGCACTAGTCCTGGTTGAGCCAAGGGATGGGCCTGTGTGGGGTCCTCCAAGAGGCCCCAAGATTATGGTAGGATGTCTGAGGTCACATGTGACCTCTCCAATGATAAGAGTATCTGTTGGAGGGACCTAGGTCCACACTAACCAGGGCTTAGAGGCCAGAATAGTCTCCCCAAACAGATCAGACTCCCATCCTTTTCTCTGTTCCTCCAGCTGAGGGTCTGGGGTAGACAGTAGCCTCTAAAGGTGCTGGCAAGTCCCACCTCCCATAAACACAAGCTGCCACTGAAGGGCAGGGTGCTCGTTCCACCTTCTGGATCGCACCCTGACAAGCCTTCCCTACCAGGCACTAGATCGTATACAAACCTTGCTCTTCCCTAGACCTCAGCTTCTCTACCCGTGCCCCACCCCTCTCCATGAGGGTTCCTAGCAGCCCAGACACTGAGGGGTTTGGCCGCATTATATTCTCAGATGGCTAGAGTTGGGTTGTTGAGCTGGCTGCAACTGGAGCAGTAGCTTCCCTTTAGGGGAAACCCACCCAGCATGGTGATCCTGGGGCTTCCTGGGAGTGAGGGGCATGGTCCTGGTTCCCAAGGAAGACTGCTTGTCCTCTCCTCGTCACAAAATCCTTAGGCCTAAGTTCTGGGTCTGGTCCCTTGCTGGATCTCAGGACACCAAGGTAATGAAACCCTGGGCCCTGCCCTAAAGGAGAACTAACAATCCAAAGTCATAAAAGCAAAGAATGTCATGGGGAAGTCAGGGTCTGCCTGCTCCTGTGCTGAGTTTGCTAGGCCAAAGGGAGGAGTAGTGGGGAAGGGACTGCAGGCAGAAATGACGGCATGGGTAAACACTGCCAGGTATTGCCTATGAGGCAGGAAGAGGTGGGCAGGAGCCGACAGCAGGAGCCAGACACAGGAACCAGATCTGGCAGTGTAGGTTATAGGTGACTCTTAGAAAATGTGAACAAATCAGGGCCCCATGATCACTTTGAGGAGAAGGGGCCCCAAGACCCTGGCACACCACAGCCTGCTAATACTTCTCCACCCCGACTCCCACTGCACTACAGAGCCCTGGAATCCATTTTGGGGAGCTGGAGGCTGAGTTCCGAGGAACTGACTGGTGGCCTGCCTGCTGGGATCCAGGGCTCAGCTCAGGCCCAGGAGACTTCTCGAAGTAGGGTAGGCTGCTAGTTGGTCACGCCAGATGGAGCCCCCGGAGTTTAGCAGGGCACATGTGAATGTGGGTACCTCTAGGGCCAACATGGTGTCTGGGTGTGTGAATGGCTGTATTGGTCACCACAAGCTCCTGGTGAGTGAGTGTATATCTGGGAGGGGTGTGTCCACAGCTGTGTCATCATCATGGTGGGGGCGGTGGCTGGTGTGTTCCAGGTGTGGGTGGCCTGTACGTGTGTGTGCCTGCTATGGAGCTCAGCCTGTGAGTTCTGCCTGGGGACCAAGCCAATGAGGGCAAACAGCCCTGAGGGGGGATCCTTCAGCAAAGCCGACAACCCAGACCTACAGTTGAGAATCCCTGCTCCCTTCCTCCGGAGGGCACCAGCTGGTCTGTGGCTGTGTGTGTATGTGTAGGTCTTAAAAATCTCACTCCCTGACACCCAGCATCTGAGGTTCCAAGGGCATCTTCAGCTGGAGCAAAGTGAAAGAGAGGGTGGGACCCCAGAACTGGGGGGTTCCTGAAAACAAAGGCAGTGGGGGTGTGGGAAGGTGTTCTAGAATCCCAAAATTCAGAGAGGAGGAAGGGAGATACTGGAGACAATTAAGGAGAAATACTGAATTATGTCCAGTCTTCCTATCACCTCCAGGACTCCTCCCTGGAAACAGGACTGCTCAGAACAAGGGGTACTTGAGCCTCGCTCCACCTTCCACCCTTCCTCATTTGGTACCATGCCAGTTTTGATAACAGCAGCCACTGGGCCACCGAGCTTTCCCTGTCTGTGGAGCACCCACTCACATCTTTCTCTCTCCCTGGAGCTTTCTGAGCTCCTGTCAGATCAGTCTGGAGAGCATCAGACCCCTTGGTTGAAGGGGTCCCTGAGGCTCTGGGCAGAAAGAACGTGCTAAGAATGCTTAGCTGAGGCCAAGAGGTCTTATCAGTGCCCACCCCCGCAAGTCTTTGGGAAACTTGGAGAAAGCGGGGCAGAAGCCAAGTTCCTTCTCACACTGGGATCCCAGACTGGGCTGAGAGGAGGGGTGAAGCTATTGTGGGGGTGCCCCAGACAGGACGGGGCTAAACCTAGGCTCTCCCAAGAGCTGCTTGTTTAGCAGGTGCCACCCTGAGGAGAGTCAAGGATCTCAGGCTGGCTTCTCCAGAAGAGCCTAATTGCTAGCAGGAGAGTGGATGACAAGACAGAGAGGGGCAGGGGCTGGCCCAAGGTCACCAGTATGCCAGCAGGCCAGAGTAGAGCTTTCTGGGCCCAGAAGGGGGTCTGGGCAGGTGAGCCAAGTCTTGAAGTCCGCGCTGCCTGAGGCGTCTACCTGCTCCGGCCTGAACCCCAGCTTAGCCTACCCTGTGTTTCTCCCGTCGCCAGTCGACCCTCAGTTTCCCTACCCACGGTGCGAGTAGAGGTGGTGACGATGTTGTCACCCCTCCCTATTGTCACTTCCGAGGTCTTTCCGGCGCTTTCTGACCCGTCAGGCTCTCTTAATACTCGGCACCTAGCACGAGGCCAGTACCCTGCCTTGTGCCAGCTCGGAGGCTGGGCGGGGGCGAAGAACAGCGCTTACCCCTGAACGCAGAGGACCATGTCCCGGCAGCGGCAGCGGCAGCTCCGGAGCTGGGGCTCGGCCAGACGGCGGTGGCTGGAGAGAGCGGGTCGCGCTCGCAGGTCTGGGTCCCGGGGCGCAAGGGCGGCGGGCAGGGACTGAGAGGTGGCGGTGCGGGCGGGCCAGAAGGGAGACGGGGGCAGGCCGGGAGGGCGGGGCGGGGCGAGCAGCCTAATCTTTTGTCCTCTGTGTTC